AACTTGTCGTTGTTTTATTGAACAATTTTTCGTTATCTCTTTCTACCATTTTCCTCCTTGTCATATCTGTCACTTTCCGCATCAATAACTGAGATCGTGTATTTTTGTTTAACTTGCTTGGCTGTAATGCCCTTAACTAACGTTGTTAGGGTTTGTGGTCGTGATTTTTGATTTTTTTTTCATCATTTAGTAATTTTTGGAAATTGGCAACTGTGGAAATTTAATTTTCTACCAGTAGATTTACAACGACTTATTTATAGGCCATTATATCGTTAATTTGCAAATAATCGAATTTACGATTTGTGGCGGATGGCCTGCAAATTGCTTTTGAATTCGACTGAAGTGGTATTTTTCTTTATTTAATGCTCTCGGTTCGGTAAAATGAAACAATAAAGCTGGAATAAAAAGCAGTAGGAGACAAGCCGCGGGACTGACGTCTCTATAGGTAATTAAGTTCGAGCTTCTCACCATAACTCTGACATAATAATATTTAAGAGTCCCGTTTCAGCGTTCACGAATTTTTCTCTTAGAGAAACTGCGAGACAGTTTTTTTATATGCGCTGACGGAGGGATGATTACATCAAGGATATCAATTTTCCTCCGAAAATTGCCGCAGAACTAATTTGATTGCTTCCACTATAACAAAATAATGCATTAAGACAAATTAGGTTAATTCGAAATTTTATGTTTTTTTTGTTTTTTTTTTTGGAGCTAGAGCATTTATTCAACATTTAAAAACTGTAGGTTTTTAGTTTCTTGAATTTTTAACTTTAATTTTAATTTTAATTTCCTCGTCTTCCTTCTCTCAACTAAACTGAAATCCTTTCATATTTTACAAATTTTCTTGGTCAGAGATACCAACGTGTAGTTATAGGAAATACTCATTCAGATGACATTGCTTTCGAGAGGGATGTTCCACAGTGGCCAGCTATCCTTAATCGAGATAAGGAAAGATTGCAATCTCTCAGACTTCAGACTTCAGACTTCAGACTCGACTTCAGAATGCTTGTATTCGTTTTAGTTACAATTTCAGAAAGTATGACCATATTTCACAGTGCCTCTCTGATTCGGTTTGGCTCAAGCTGGAGAACCGTTCAGTTTTTCACTTTTGTTTTTTCGCTTAACTCCAATAAGACCCCGTCATACTTGTTTGATAAACTTTGCAGAGAAAATGATATTCATAGTCAAGACACCCGTCATTATTTAAGATATTGCGTTCCTAGACACACTTCGGTAACTTTCCAGAGATCTTTTATAGATAACGCAGTTAAATTATTTTTTCTACTCCCATCTGTAAAATACCTAATTACCCACCGATCTAGTGTGCGGGAAGCGTCACTTTACCACGTCAGTTTCGTTTCCCCCGAATCCGAGCCACTTCGGACATTTCCGGGATTTTACCGCACGGGTTTGGGAGCAATCGGATGTTTTCGGGGATATTTCCCACGCTTTGAATTTTGACGTTTGTCAATTCTGACAGTCATGTCTTGTCTTGCCTTTTACTGCACTTGTTGCATAATATACTATTATTAGGTCCGCCAGTATCCAGCAAAAGCGCATGAGTTTATGAGTCTATTTCTTGTATCTAGGATGTATATACGGGAGTGTATTTTTTTGACAATTATGATGTTGGTGCTGTTATTCTTGTGGTTACATGGAAGAACGCAATGTCGCCAATCTTGTATTATTACTTATATTGTAATATTTTGATTTTCAATAAAGACAGTTTATTATTATTATTATTATTTGATAATTTAATGTTAAATTCAAAACAAACAATTTTTATTTAAAAAATTGATGCTAAAAATCGATTAATAATTGTAAAATATGTTTTACTTTATTAGAATTCCATTTTATGCAACACTTTTAATGGAAATGGCCTGCCCAGTCCTCAATAGTGTTAAATACGATAATGATGATGAAAACTGGGCGTAGTGTTTTTGAGAGAAAAGGATAAAACTTAGTGCGATAAAATAAAATATGAAAGTATATTTTGAGCGAAAGCCATGGTTTATTCAAACACGTCCAATGGAACTGTAATACAATAAATAGAATTTCGACACAGAGAGAAAGAAAATTGAAGAATTGCTTTTAGACCCGTTGAATGAAGGCCTTAAACGGACTTGGCCGAGATGAGTAAAACCGATAAATTCCTTTGTTGGCGTTACACACTATAATCGATCTCTCATCCCAGGCAATAAAACTAAAGGCCAGTGGCGGAACTGCTCCCCCGAGATCGAAGGGCTCACGGCCCGTCTAACAATAATGGCTTTGATCACGTTATACCGGGTGGTTTAATGTTCCGTAACGGAATAACATTCTCTATCTGTTTGGGATCCGGAAAAATTAATACGGACAAAATTTATTTTGGAATAAGCATTGCGAGCCCGAAGCGCGCCTCTGCTGTTTTTTTTCCGATTTTCGAGTTTCCTACACTGGCCGGTTCCAATTTTACTCTCGACATATTGTGGAAAATTTTATAAATGGTCCTATAAAATCGTGTATAAGCAGGTTTCCGATTTCTTTTTAATAAAATAAAGTTCTCTAATACTTACATTTAACGCGAAGGTTGTCGGAAGAATTTAACACCTGGGCATTAAAAATATTTCCGTGACAAAAAGTTTGCGCCCTCAATTACGCCTGATTTATTATTTATTGTATTTATTATTTAGTATTATTATCAAGTGACAAGTTGTATAGGTTCGCAAATAATACTATCATTTGTATCGTTTCGTTTAAAAGTGAGAAATATTCTAAGGAAAAAAAAAATGGTGATAGTCCTTCCCCTTCCAAGCGGCTACATAATATAAAGGGATTCGAATTCGTGCCTATTATATGGGTATTTTATCGATCGAGCGAACTGAAGCTTTTTTATGGCATTTTTATTACGGTAAAATTGATGCGAACCTAACCTAAAAATGCGCGAAAGTATCGACTGCAATACGTATTATTTTATTTCGCTAGGTAGAATTTCGGCATTTTATTTAGAAAACGTTTCAAGTCCAATACCCCTGCCTCACCCAATAATAGTAAGTATTGTTGGGACGAAGAAATTAAATTAAAAAAAAGATGAAATAAACAAAAAATAAAATAGAACAAGATGTAAATAATATTTAAAAAAATCCATAACCTGATTTGTGCAACATTTCCCTGTAAGCCGTTAAGAAGGCAGAAATAAAAAAGAGTAATAAGAAATGAGCTACATTTTAAATTGGACCAACGCTGCACAGATAACCACCCCCATGGATTATAGAGAGGTTGGACTAATATTTTGCCACAGAAAGGAAAATCGGAGATTACAAGTCAGGCGTCTCACCTGTGCAACCCAATTATATTTAATATCGATAGTATTTTAATTCGCAATCAAAACATCACCTTGGGAGTCTTTTGGTGTTCATTTTAAGGAACTTGACCAGAACATTTGAACATTTGAAGAGGTTAGATTGGTTTTTTTTCAATAATATCAGAATAAAGTAAAATCCAGACAGCAATGTTACTAAAAAAACAACTCACAATGGTACTGTTAAAAGCCCGTGTTAAGGCTAGCTTAAATTTATGCTAAGATTTATAATAAAAGCCCTACCTGTGCACTGTGGGACTCTGGTTAAATACAATCAAGCCAAGCTTATAAGTAAATAACCACCTGAAGCACGGTCTTGCTAAGCCTGGATTAGCAGTTTGTGATACAAAACATTTTGTAATATTTTGTTCCAGTTGTAGAACTTCAAAAATCTAAATGTGATCGTATAGAGCGAATTAGTTTGAGATTATGCTTAAAAGTCATACCTGAAACTACATTAGTTATGAACTATGATAGAAATGAAATCTAATTTTCCAGTCGATCCAAATGGTCAACTAAATCAAAAGCTTAGACAATGTTGGCATATACCTATATGGAATTAACATCATAACCACTATGAGGTCAGTTAGTTGGTCATGGTAAAATGATATGTCGATAGAATCCCTAAAATGCTGCCAAAACCATTTTGCCCAATCTGTTAGCTATTGCCGATCATAAAAGACTGGACCTGTATACAGTAGACATCGCAATTGTTGCAATTTTTAAAAATAGGGTTGCTTCAGTCTATCTGGGAATAGGTCCTGCTTTATTTATTAAATAAATGAAACTGAAACGGCAAATTATAGTTACAAAAAACCTTAGTGAAATCCATCAAAATTATTTGGGTTTAACTAGTTTGCTTACAACTCCTTCTACCATTTATGTACAACAGTCTTCTTCTCTTAGCTTCCTTTTGCACTTGCTTTATAGTTTATTAAACAGTAATATAAACAATAATTAAGTTTTCCGTAGTTTTTTAAACAAAATTAATTTTTTTAGTAAAACTGTTACTATCGCTTTTTACAAAACTTCTGGATTCCTCCTGCGTCGGTTTTTGCTTAGTCGAAATTGCTGACGTTTCGCCAATTATCCTGTTGGCTTCCAGGAATCCAGAAAAATTAACTGTTAGTATCCTTTAAACTATTATTCCATATTGTGAATTAAAAAATTACTAAATAATAAATAATAAATAAATAATTTTGAGTAGAGTGTTTTTTGTCGTATTCGTTTATAAGGGACGCAAATTTTTCGAAAAGTTAAATGTATGTTAATGTCGGTCACATTTTCCATAAAATATACGAATAAAACCGGAATGAAAACTGTTACATTAAAATACGCAAAAGGTGGCCTTTTATTCTGGGAAAATTGAGCCTCGGCGAAATGATATATTGTGTCACAAACTAAAGTCCCGTTAAAATATACGGGAATTTTCTATTTTATCTTTAAAAAGGTTGTAATTTCTCTTCCACTAGATCCTACGTGAAAGAATTGTTTCCAATTTTCGGGAACCGCTCCCAGTAAAATATGTCGACATATCCGAAACGTACCAATTACGCAATGTGGTTTCAAATACTACGTCTTTATTCGGAAGTAAGAATATTGTCTCTAAAATATATTCAATATTTTACCTCCAGGACTAATACAACAAAAATTTACTCACTTCTCTTCTTCTGGGTCCGGTCTCTCCATATGTTTCCTGAAAACAATTGAACATATTAATTTTAGTGCACTTTCGATGTAGGTACATGGAAAATGGAAATAACTTTATTATACAGGATGGTCCTAAAAATATTCACACCCAAATTATATTGTTTAAATAGTAAAGACATAGTAGTAATGTAGTTTGCAGCAGCACTAAAGAAACAAAATTTTTGTCTCATAAAGCTCTGAAAATTATATTTAAAAAAAACAATACGATAATGATAGAATAATGGACTAATGATTGGAAAGTGTGTGAAAAAACATCCATTACTGTCCACTAGAGTGTGTGTGACTCGATATCCGGAAAGTGAAAAACGCGGAGGGCTGAAGCATTTCGAAGCTTATTGAAGGGATTTAGGCAAACAGGAAATGATGCCTTTTAGGGAACTAATCACTAATTAATTATGCCTTTCAATTGTTGAGCCTGCTCAATAAACTTTAATTGCTTTAGGTCTTTGCTTTATGCTTGCTTTTTTGCTTTTTTTTATTGAAGTTAATGTTTTACCGAACATCTGTATACAATGCGTCCCAGATGCAATTATATATGCAGGAAAGGTTAAGCGGGGAAAGTTTTTGAGGAAACTTAGTGGTTTCGATTTTTCGATTTTTGGAAAGAACGTAAAATTTTCAGTTCAGTGATATCTCCCAAGCGCACACGATTTTATTACACTTCGTAAAGTTAGATTTTATTTATTTTATTAGTAGGCCATGATTTATTTAAGACGTTTATCCATCTAAAGACATCGACGTTAAATAATTCAAAGCATCAAAGTTGGAAACGAGATACTTCGGAAGATTTATGGTCTAGGAAAAGTGGCTGAAGAATGGAGAAGAAAACAAACGAAGAACTAAAGACATCTTGAATGAGTTGTAAAAGCCCAGCGATTGCGATGATTTGGGCATGTGCAAAAAATAAATTGAGAAAGAAGCCTAAAAGTATTCTTCAATTGGGGGATCGAGAGAAAAGGAAGATCGATATGGAAAGTAGAGGTGGAACTGGGGATAGCCGGATGGAGAGAAAAAGCCGAAAGAGAATATGGAAAAAACTGACCCTACAATTTATGGGCCTTTTTGGCTTGGAGTGCTAATATATATATATATATAAACATATATAGAAAGGAATGTATTTCACACTTGTAAAAATACAATTTATTTCTTAGTATATCTTTATTGTAAGAAGAATTTTATTTTTTACAAAATCTTCCCAGCAGTTTGCTTTTTTACTTTTTTTCTGCACGCAATATTGCATAAAAAGTTTCAAAACAGGTGGTAGATTATGGTGTGACTTGGGGCTCTGTGATAGGTCCCTGTTACTTTTGGCCCCATTTATTGTAATGTAATATAACCTTGCCGAAGTCTCAACAAATAAAGTCAATATTGTTGTTTTGTATGTTGCCTTGAAGTTTTACTTTATCCTCAACTGACTTTCGAGAAGCACATTGTGGTAAAAATGTATATTTTGCACTTCTTGAAGGATTGTTGCCTTGCTATATTCTATGGGAGAATTGCCTGAAAAAAAATTTTCAAATTCAAAGATTTTATCAACAATTCCAAAAAGTTTTCTTTCAAATCAGCCGCTTGATGTTGAAATGCAGGCTGTGGATCATGGAGTGCCCTGGGACTCTGTGTCCTGGGTTCCTTTCATTTTTAGCACCATTTAATGTAAGGTAATTCAACTTTTTTTAAAAAGATTAGAAAGGAATGTATTTCAGGCTTGTAAAAATAAAGAATATTTTTTAATTCATTAATTTTTTTATAAAACCTTCTCAGCAGTTTGCTTTTTTACCATATACCTATGGCCATTTTCAATTGATTTTCCAATATACTTTAAAGCGCATCTAAATGGGATAAATTTGAACTTTCAGTTAATTAGCTACAGAGCTGCATACGTATTTTACTAATGAATACAATAAAATCTATACTTTACAAGCAAAAATGTTGTAGTTAAGTACCAGTTCCCATTTAAATCACGTGGACACCCAAGGCACAACTGGCCATTTATGACCTCTGACTCATTTATGCAGTTCATCTTGTTGATCTAAAATTGAAATTGTTAGATTTGGAGTTAAAATCAAGCGATATAAATTCGTTGGCGTTGGTTGCAAAAAATTGAACTTTAATTAAAATTGATTAACCTAAGAAATCCCTTGCGCTGGCACTTAAAATAGCTCGGGTAATTAGTTTTCAGCGTAATATATCAGTTAGTGTATTAATCTTGCACGAGGCTTCGCGGTCGCTCAATGTCCATTGTTCGTTTCAGGAATTTTCAATTTTCAATTACACGTAGCAAATATCGATGCTGTCAACACAATATATTTAAAATTAATTACCGCTTGATACTGTAAATCATTTTTATATGCCGTTTAATATCCTAAGCTTCATTGTCAGCTTTCGAAATTTAGATTTGAGGTCACAGTTAAGCTCTTTTGTAGTGTGTAATATATAACGCAGTTATTACACTGCGCCATATTTAGGGATATTAAACTGAGGTGAATAGATAGGACGGAAGCTTTGCAGGGAAATTTTCCGAATTTGAGTCCGACTAGACTTTATTCGTCTTCTACGCCGCCATGTCTATTTGGACTTGGTTAAATATGAACGCTTCTGAAATTAAATCTGTGACTTTATTAATTAAAGTAACGTTTCTATACAATTTTTCTATAAATGTGCACGATTTAAGGACTTCAAATAATTGCTTCTTTCTTCCTGATAAATGAAATTATTGTTCTATTCTGTTTTAGAAGTTTTAGTTAGTGTTGGCAGCTTTTACAGGAGCTTTCCTTAATGTCTTTGGCCAAGGGAATATAGAGTTGAAATTACTTAGAATCTCAAGTAAGAGGGAATTATTAGAAAAAAACTGATTTGATTAGGCATTGGGTTTTCGAATCATTTTTCCAGGTATGTTAAATGGTTTTCGAATAATCTTAATCCACATTGTCCCAAGAATAAAAAAAATAAAAAAACACTTTTTGCATGCATGAAGTATGTAAATGCACTTTAGACTTATTACAAACGCAAATTGTGTGGCTGTGGCAGATTCTACATCTCCTTCGGGCTTTATTAGCATGACCAATCATAAGGTGACCTTGATTATCATAACGCACTTCATCTATGGCAGGTGCAAGATTTCTGTGAGTAATTATTTTATCAGTTTTTAAAAATGGCAATGCAATGTAAGATTTAAAATCAAATCAATCACTTCGTCATCAAAAAACATAAAAAATATTTCAAGCGGAGTTTTTCCACAAAGGCTATTTTTTAGTTCCTCACATGATCTAAATTCATCGGATATAGGTGTGTGAGTGTACTCAATCTGACATTTCTTCCATTTGACATTAGAAGCAAGAAAGCATACGTCTTCTTTTGAATTCCAGGGTTTCATCATCTTATGAGTCCCATTCAGGTTCAGTAGTTGATGCATTACAGGACTGTTGAAGGACAGCTGTATCATTCGGTGTATGTAACTCGAAAGTTCCAACTATATCAGTTGGTTCGCCAAGCTCTTGTAGATTTGTGTTATCTTTCATATTTTCTACGTCAGTCAAGGTATCCCCATTGGGTGGAACATAGACCGCGTCAATATGTTCTGTAAATATTTTTTCACGTTATTTTTAGCATAAATTTACAAGGAATGGAATGCTACAATACATAATAATACGTAAATCCAAATAATACTTACGACTTTCATTGTTATTGTCCTCTTCCATTACGATCTCCTCCATAGCCGCCTCTTTTGAGTCAAATATCTCGAAAATGCCATATTTGACGAACTATAACGTTCACTGCACAAGACACAAAACTAATACTAAAGACTTGTCTAGAATTGCAATAACAAATAAAACATAAAATATTTTCAAAAAATAAAGCATAATCAATATAGTATTTCCAGTGTATGTTTTCTGCGATGTAATCTAAATGCTATAGACTTAACAAAAATGGCAATACGAATCCAAAATACTTTTTTTTTACTATTTTGGATTTACTTGAAAATGTGATGCAAATTTATTTTGTTAACTTTTGAAGTCATATATAGGATGTTTCCTTTACACATAAATTAGCGATTTCTACGGTTTTATGTCCTTTAGTAGTGATAATAATAAAATTTCTAAATGGATGTGCAAAAATATTTCCTGGATATGACAAAAAAAATCATAGAATACGTGGTGCACTAACGCACCACTGGAACAAAACGGGTTAAAAATTCCGAAATTTTATTAAATTATTTTAACCACGATTTCCTAATAGATGTATTTGCGCGTTACAAATTATTTCATTGGGTTTAATTTAGATATTATTTAGATGTAAATCATTTTCTTGGAAATGACATATTTGCACGTAAAATATTTTTTTCGCCATTTGTTGGGCGACAAAATGATTTTATTCCTGTCATATTATTACTATGAAATTTACACTGAGCATGATTTTTTCATCTAAGCTGCTATGTATAATATACTGTTCTTTTTTCTTACTGCGCCTTGAAAGTGCTCAATAGAATAATTTCCAATTGTCAAAAATAGTACAGCGCGACGTGTCAACCGACAAATCTTGTTTGCTTCCTCGTATCGTTGTAAATCCTATAAACACTTGGTTTGTCGTTCTAAATGCCTGGTTTCCTTAGCGTGATTTGAGGCTAACGATGGCAAACATTTTATGAAGCGTAACGAAAGATAAGAAACTATTAACAAAATAGCATCTTGTCTAGGATATAAGTGCCTTGCCTGAAAAGTAGATATATGTATTAAGTCTGGTGAATCTCAAATTAAAGGGGCTGGAATCAAATGTCTCCAGATATACGTGTGTTTACATATTATTTATAATAATGATAGTACAAAGATAAATGAGGACAAAAAGACTAGTGAATAAGCGGAAGTTACAATTATATATAATAATGAAATCATTTAAAATCTAAAGTAAGAGTGAATAATTAAAAAAAGAACTCATTTGATTCAGAATTTTTTGAAATAAGATTTCCTATTACTTAATTATATTGTAAGT